TATAATTTTCATATACATAGTATAATTCAAATTGTTGTGTATATTTAATTTTATATTTAATTTATTTTATGGAATAATATATAGAGAGGTAGGTACACTCCTCAAAATTATATAAACAAGATTATTTCATTTTATAAATTGTTTTATTTTTTAACAAGATTTTATTATACACTGCCCTTCAGCAATGTAGCATCAAACAAAAAAAAATATATATTATTGTGTTATGACTGTGTATAATTCAGTGGTGGCAGACAAATCATGGTGGTGGGTTCTGGATTTGACCTGGTCCAGAATGCTACCATCAAGGTGGTGGCGTCGGCTGGAGAATGGTCCGGACAGACCGTCCCAGAGGAGGTGAGAGCGAGAAACACCAACCCTGATCTCCAGCGGCTCTCGAGGGAAACATCACTTGCTGTTTGTTTTTCGTTTCATCTGTTCCTCTCGTTGTTGGGTTTCCGTCTTGCATGACTCGCTCGGCTCCTGATTGAAACAACGAGAGCTGCTCTGATCCGAAACGCTCAACGAGACGGAGATTAAACGAGCGTTTATCTAACGAAAAACTTGATGAACGCTTCATTTCATCTCCCTTATCTGAGGAGAAGCTTTTGTACTCCAGCCCTTTCTCAAGTGGTCTCAATGCTTCCATCGCTCTTGCTCCATCTGTCTATCTATCAGATTTTCCGCCTCCACTTTTAGGGACTTTTGCTGCTCCCCCTCAGAATATCAATAGATTTCCCAGCCACAGTGAAATCTGTTCCTCTGTTTTGCTGTCTGAGGACTTTCAGTCCATGTCAGGGTTGGACATTAACGGGCTTGTGGGGAAAAAAAATGCCACCAAAATTAAGAAAAATGCACCACAAATTCAAGTTAAGGGAGCAAAAATTGCCCCTGCACAATTACACTAAATTTATTAATGCTGTCGCGATTAAAATGAAATGTGAAGATGAATGAAAAGTGTCAATTGGCGTAATTACATTTAGATCTGTGAATCAGATTGCCTTTGCGCGTTGTTTTTGCACCGTTGAGCCTTACAGCCAATCACACACGTTTCTGTTGAGTTTATGAATGCAATGGCCAATCAGTGGCGTTTAGATTAGTCAGTGCTGAAAACTCCAGCGGTGTGTCCAAAGTCGCATACTTTCTGAGTAGGTACTACATTTAATTTGAATTTAAATCACAACCGTTAAAAAGGTACGTTCTACACAGTATAGTAATTTGGGTAGTATGAATGAAATTCAGACGTACTACGTCCGCCATGTTGGTACTGTCACATGACCTACCTGCGTCAGTTGCGTCGCTTCACTGCCATTCATAAATCCTCCCCCATGGCCTCATGGGAAGGTAAAGTGTCCATCGTTTGCGCACTTCAGAATCTGGGCAGAAGTTGGTCATCCGGGTACTTTTCACCTACTGTTTTTCGAATACTGTGAATTTGGACATACTACTTGCCTCTCAAACTGTTTTTCGCATACTATATAGTAGGGAAGTATGCGATTTCGGATGCAGCGCGCTGTTTTGTTGAGCACATACGCTCACTAACTGAATTCTCAGTGTTGCCAGGTCCTCAGTTTTCCCGTGATACTGGGCTACTTTAACACTGTTGCTGCGGGTTGTATTTCATGCCTGAAAGTTGAAGCGACCCCAATAAAGTGATATTTAGACCCTGGAATGCAAATACGAAAAACCTGGCAACCCTGTGAATTCTGTGCGTTCACGACGTGAATTCCCTCATCACAAACAACAAAGTGCAGATACGAATACATTCATTCCAAAAACCGTGTATTTTACCCCCCGGAACACGATTTGTATCGATGTACCCCCACCCCGAAAAGTGATTGGGCTTGTTTTGGGTTAGTTTTGAGTAGCAGTTGGGTGGGTTTTGTTGTGAAAACCTGGCAACCCTGTGAGTTCGCGATGCAAATTCCATTATCATAAACAACGAACTGCAGATACGAATAGATTTTGCAGCTCTGGTGATTATAACGGTTGTTTTTGCATAACGTAAGCTAGACTAGAACTAGACTAACGTCATGGACCGACATGTTTGTCTGTGTAGCCAGAATATGAAGTATCGTCTTAATTTACAGAAGTGACGTTTACACAGTCTCTCTCTTTCTCAGTTTGTAGAGCGATCCAAGCACAAAAACGACACCGTCATCATGTTCCTGTCACCTGTGGTCAACGAGTCTCAGTTCTTCAGGACTTACGTGCAGCTCGATAACCTCCAGACGGAGCTGATGCCGTTTGAGTATCACCCCGACCCTACATTCGATCGCCTCAGCAAGACGGATATCACTGAGAACAGCATGATCATCGTCACTGTGAGTATCTGCTCGAAATGTCATTCATGCGGGGGTTTCATGCTCGTCAACGCTTTTTTGGTGTGTCTCAGGGTCGTGGCTTTTCTAAAGCGATGACGGCGAAGGAGGCGCAGGCGTTTGTGGGAGACGCCCCGTGTAATGTAAACACGTTACAGGATGATAAATTATTCCTGGACCCGCCCTCAACCACACCCAGTGCTCGATCCAAGAGACAGAGGAGAGACACCGGCTCCGACCCGCTGGACCTGGTGGTGAGAGAACAACATCCTTCCATTCATTCTACCCTCCTTCAAGCCTCATATTTATTCATCCATTCACATATTTATTGGTTTCTATTTTATTTATTTTTTTACAAATAGTTATTATTGAATATGCTTTTTTTACTTCCAGAGAAATAAATGTGTGTGTGTGTATAATTTATATATCCATCAGTCCATCTATCACTTATCTGTCTGTCCACTTATTCATCTATTTATCCATCCATCATTTATTTATATTAATTTATATAATTATTTATCCATCCATCCTTCAATGTATTTATATTTGATCATTTATTTATGACAAAAAATGATTTGCACCTGTTTATCTATACATCTATCCTAAAATAAAAATATTTTAGTATTTTTAAACTAATATAAAGTAAAAAATTATACATTATTTTATATTTTGTGTATATATATATATATATATATATATACATATACATTAATCCATTTATCTTTCCATTCAATTATTAATTTATTAAATATACATTTTATATTTTACATTTTTTTATTTATATATTCACCAGTCCATCACTTGTCTGTCTATCCACTTATTCATCTATTTATCCCTCCATCCATCCATCATTCATCCACCTATTTATATTTATTTGTTTATTTATATAATTATATATCCATCTGTACAATTACCTATTTATCTATTCATTCACTTATTTATTTGTTTGCTTGAATATTTATTTTTACATTTATTTATTGTTCTATCATTTGCCTATTTATTTATACATTTATCAATTGATCTATGTGGATATCTTGATATTGATATCCACACATATGTTTATTTCTTTATCATCCTCATTTATTTATTTGTTTGGTTATATATAAATTCATGTATCCTCCAACACATATTTTTCATTCATCCTTTCATTCATTCAATTAATAATTTATGTATGTATTCATTCAATTAATAATTAATTTTTTATTTATCCATCCATCTGCCCATTTATTTATTTATCTAATCATCTTTCCACCTTTTTATTGATTAGTTTGTTTCCATCATCCACATATTCATATATTTATCTATCCATCCACACATCAGTTTATCCATCCATTAGTTTTTTCAGTCATCCACTTTTATCTATTCATTTGTTCATCCGTTCATCCATCCCCCCCAACACAGTCTGTCTCTCTCTCTCTCTCAGATTAAGTTTGGCAATGGCGAGTGGTTGGTCGGCTCAGTTCGGTATGAGAGGAAGTACAATCTCCCGCTGCCCATCATCATCCCGGCGGTGGTCGTTCCCATGCTGCTGATTATCGCCATCTCCGTCGTCTGCTACAGGTTAAAAAGAAAACTGCACTTCCCACAATGCCCTTGATCTGTTGGTCTGAGTGAACGTTTCATGTAATGAATTTGTGAATTCATCTAATCATGTGTGTGTGTAGGAGGAAGAGCCAGCAGGCAGAGCGAGAGTACGAGAAAGTGAAGCATCAGCTGGAGAATCTGGAGGAGAGTGTTCGTGACCGCTGCAAAAAAGAGTTCACAGGTCACATGTGCACACATAATTCCGTTACCATGGCAACAGGGGTGTTTTGAGCATGGCAACAGATGATTTAAGACTCTACTCTAAAACTAGTTGACCTCACTAATTTACTAGTTGGTTGTTGGATGACTGCCATCACTCATTCCTAGTATCTATTATCTATCTTTCTACTTATTTTTTATTTATTAGTCATTTATATGTCCTTTAACATTTATTTTGGTATTTATTAATTAATTATTATTTATTAATAATTAAGTAATAAATACATATTAATTATTAATACATATTAATTTATTGATTAATCAATTGTTTATCTATTATTTATTTATTATTCCTTCATTCATCAACCTGTTATTTATTTATTTATTTATGAATTTATCATTTAATCTACTGTTTATATATCTTTCCACATATTTTCATTTATCGGTTATCTATCTGACCATATATTTATTTATTTATATATCTATCTATCCATCCACTTATTTATTTATCAATTAATCTGTTGTTTTCCTATCTTTACAAATATTTTTTTAATTGACAGTCACTTATCTGTCCATTCACATTTTTTATTTATTTATTTATTACTTTTTATTTTTCAATTAATCCATTATTTATCTATCCTCCTACCCTTATTTTCTTTTTTTTTTAATCCATCTGGTATTTGCAGTGTTTTTTTTTTGTGTGCGATTTTGTCATTTTTATTGAGAAATACGTGTATAGTATTTAGTATTTTACATTTTTGAATTAATAATAAAATAATTAAATTTTTTATTTTTTTTTTACTAAGAATATACAAACAGGAATGAGAACATAACCTCCCTCACTCACTCAAAAAAGTGTGGTTTTGATACGGACAAATGAAAACAATTTGCACATCTAGGATCTTGAGCTGGTCTTTAATTGTCAATCTGGTCTTTAAAACTCAATCTCAGAACTGTCTGCATAAATTTACTTGGATTTGCAGTGTCGAGTTTGAAGCAAACACGTCATTAACGTTGGACGTGTCATTTCCTGTGCAGATCTGATGATCGAAATGGAGGACCACACTAACGACATCAGCGAGGGCCGGATCCCGTTCCTGGACTACAAGACCTACACCGACCGCGTCTTCTTCCTGCCCTCGAAGGATGGCGCCAACGACGTCATGATCACCGGCAAACTGGATATCCCAGAATCCCGCAGGGCTACGGTCACCCAGGCGCTGAACCAGTTCTCCAACCTGCTCAACAGCAAAACTTTCCTCATCAATGTATGAAACACACACACAAACTGTAATTATGATCCATTTAAAGACTCCTCACCTACTCGATTTAAACCATTCTGTGCAGTTAATAGCGGGAAAGGTCAGTAAATTAATATTTGACGATAACTGTCGAAGGTTTCTCATCAGAAACAACACACATCGTTGATGAAGCCTTTAGACATTCGCTCAATTATACAAAATGACACTAAAACGGCCCCAGAGGACTCGATCAGCTCCTGCGCTCTCATTAAAGTCTTTTATATTCATGGCGCAAACACAATTAAACATTAACATCTAATGACACACATGCATACACATAAACAAGCACACGTTTTAAGACTGGCCTGTAATTATCTCCCCAGTGTTTATATCGTTACCCTCCACACACAAAAGTCCATCATACAGACAGTAATAAACATAATAATCATTAGAATATAACAAGATGTAAATCTGAATGCTGCACAATTTTAATCACACAGGGAAGTCGATTTGATTTAATTAGCGTTTGTAAACAGTAATCTCTCTGTGTGAAGTTTATCAGAACGCTGGAGGGCCGTCCGGATTTTAACGCCAGGGCCAAAGTGTATTTCGCGTCTCTGCTGACCGTAGCGCTTCACGGTAAACTGGAGTATTACACAGACATCATGAGGACGCTTCTGCTGGGGCTCATGGAGGATTACGTTCACAGCAAGAACCCTAAGCTGCTGCTCCGCAGGTGAGATGCTGTCTGACACTGCATGCTAAGGTCTGATGCATATTGTACAACAATGGCAACATTTTTCAAAATTCGTAGTCTGCGGTCTGATTGGCTGGCTTTACGCAACTTCTGGAAGCCAGGTGTTATGAGTTAGTCAGGAACAGTGTTATTTTAGTTGTATTTACGTACTTGTGCAGTATTTATTAATATTCAGAATTTGTTTTTATAATTTCAGTTTTCACACATCCCTATTTTGCTTAAAAAAATTAAGCTTACTTTTGAAACCATTTTCAATATGCATTATTTTCATTTTATTTCAATTTATTATATTTTCATTAGATTCTCATGATTATAATATAGTGATACATAATTCATTCATTTATTATATGCATTGCAGTAATAAGGTTTTTGCCATAAAATAATGAAAATGGGAGAAAAATATAAATAATGTTTATCTTGATCCTAACAATAGACTTTTTTTAATTATTTTGTAATATATATTATGATTATTATTATTTAATTTTAAGGTAATTAGAATAGATTCTCTTTATTATAATACAGTGATTTTTATTTAAAACAATGAAAATGGGAGCAAAATAATTTATCGTCATTCATTGTCAAATTAATATTTTTGTCTTTGTTGTCAAAAAATAATGTTACAGTGAAAAAAATCTTAATGCTCCTAATAACATGCTTCTTTTTCTTTTTGTAAAATATATTTCATTTCTGGTGCATTGATTTTGGGTCAGGTTTTGACAGGATGTTCTCAAGGCATAACTAGTCACGATTTCCCATATGAAGTTTGTTTATGAGGTTTGTGGCACTGAATCATATATAATATGATATATATTCAAAAATATTCAAAGTTTTAGTTTGAGGCAGTTAAAGACAAGCAAACATCCTCAAGCATGACTTTGAAATAGATGGTTATTAATTTTGGATGGACCACAAAGCCAACCACAAAGCCAACCTCTAAATGTCACATAAAACATATCATGAACACTATCTACATGAACAACACAAACCTCACTGTGCCAAAGCCCATCCGCATGCTCAGAACTCTCCAGCACCATGTTCACATGCTTGTTTGATTGTCATAGTTGGGTGCTGATGCTAATTCTGGTTGTTTGTTATTGAGTCAGATGAGTGTTGAAGTGTTGATTAGAGCAGTAGGCCGCTGGAGGCCGTACGTTACACTGATCTTACCACAGTTAAGAAACCACTTCAAATCACTGTGACGTACGGCCTCAAGTGGCTTGTTGCTTTCATGAACAGCCAGCAACCGCAACACAATAAAACGCATCCGTGTTCAATAAATAACTGTTTATTATTCATAATAATCATAATAAACAATTATTCTGTTCTTATATACAGTACAAGAACAAGTCATGTAATCTAGTTCATTAGCCTGACTGCTGGCTGTTTAGCAACTTGTGTTAATACAGTGTTTAACAGATCAGGTTGGATATCAGCTTCAAATGAAACTATTTCAGAGATTTAATAGAATATAATAGAAAATAATATTAGGTGGTTTGCAGAGGAAAAAGCATCAGTGTTTTAGAGTAGGGATTCCCAACTTCTTTAGTCAGAATAATTTTGTGTGTTTGTTTGTTTGTTGTTTTTTTATTGTTGTTTATTATTTATTAATTGTTAAAAAATATTTGTATTATTTTGATATAAAATTGTTCATTTTTTGATATAATTATACATTTTTCATTTTTATAATTGAATTAAATATTAGCTATGAAGTGAATATTAGTAAGTGTGTGCAAGTTTGTTTTATTGTTTTTATTTATTGTTTTAAACTATTTAATTATTTTTATGTGAAATTATATATTTTATATGATTTTTATATAAAATTATTCATTTTTATTATTGTTATTAATTTTACAATTTTATAATTTTATAGTTTTTTTTAGCAACTCATGAACTCCATTTTGGGAAACACAGTTTAGGAAATTCCTGAAGGTAAAATATTAAACATGAAATACATTCATAGAGATTCACTCATGTTTCATTTTAACAATGCATCGGGATTTAATGATCAAGTCGAATCTTGATCTGAAAGCGTCATCTTTCAGGAAGTTTTACACACTTCAACACTTTTAATTTGATATTGCAATAGATGGGCTTTATTAGTGTTTTAAGGTTTTGTGAAGCTTTGATATTCATGAGTGTGATGATAACGGTGCTTAATGAAGTAGCGTCTGTTCTTCATCTGCATGAATCAGCTCTTCAGTCGCTCACACACTTGAACTGTAGATTCTTCAGAGCCTCCGCTGATGTACAGGTGGAGAAATGGTTGTCTGTGTAATGTGCTGGTGTTTGTTCAGGACAGCGCCGGAGAGCCGCTCTACAAACTCTTCAGAGCCATAAAGCACCAGATTGAAAAGGGGCCGGTGGACGCACAGGTCAAGAAAGCCAAATACACGCTGAATGACACTGGCCTTCTCGGAGATGACGTGGAGTACATTGTGCTGGTATGTGTGTTTGTTTAGAGGTTTTCTGTAAGTCCCTCTGGGAAGTTCCCACATTCAGAAGTCCTAACAACAGCTTCATGTGATTTGGTCAGAAGAAAATGGACATAGAGTTTCCTCACTTGAAAAAAAATCACTTTTTTAGTGGTGCTACAACATAATGATGAGAATGATGTCTTCTTTAAGCATGTTAACTACATTCAATCAAATTTAAGATAAAAGCATATCTAGCACACATTGATACAATTTCCTACAGTTTAATTAATAAAGAAGCAGGTTGAATAAATAAGCGAAAAGAATGTAATAAAGCAAATTCATATTTATATCATTTGTAAAATGTATTTATATCAAATTATATACATTTACTACAAATTTATTGTAAACATGTATAATATAATATTTGTCATTTATATATTACACATATAATATAAATAAAAGATTATATACATGTATATTATATAAATTTAATCAATTGAAATTATATTTATAATTTATTAAATTCAATATTTATATTTAAATAAGCTATTAATAAATTAATTTTATTAAATATATTTATTATAAATAAATAGTAAATAAATGTTGTCATATATTCTCACATTCATTTCACAAGTAATTAAGTGTGAAAATGACTAAAGGAACATCTATTCATTCAAAAATTTAAGCCAGCTTATATGAGTCATGTTCTTTTGGTTTCTCTACCCAATATTTAAAAAAAATGACATATGCAATGAAAATCTTAAGAAATTGTTATCGGCAAGTGCCAAAAATGAAAGTATCGGTATCGTACCTGTCATGGAAGAAAGTGCTATCGATGCATTCCATATATTTTAATATGTTTATTATATCTGTAATCAGATGTCAAAATATACAGCCACTTTATTCTCACATTATTTTACCAGAAAAGGGGTGATGAAGGGAAATTGATTTTGTCACTTCAAGAACGAGTAGTATTTTCTAGGATGTTCAGAACATGTGTATGAGTTTGCTGTCTGACCCCAGACGCTGCAGGTGCGGGTTCAGGGCGAGGGGCCCGACATCACCCCCGTGAAGGTGCTGAACTGTGACACCATCTCTCAGGTGAAGGAGAAGATCATCGAGCAGGTGTACAAAAACCAGCCGCACTCTCAGAGACCCAAAGTAGACAGCGTCACCCTCGGTGAGTGAGCGCACGTGTGTAATCGGTTATGATTTCACATCCAGCACAACGCTGCTTCATCTTTACGTGTTCTGGTCTCTTGCACAGAATGGCGGCCCGGCTCCACGGGACAGATCCTGTCAGATCTAGACGTGACGTCGCAGAAGGAGGGCAGATGGAGACGTATCAATACGCTGGCACACTATAACGTGAGCGCATATGTTGTTTTTTGGGTCCAGCAAAGATACGAGTGTCTTAAACGTGACTTTTGTGTGTGTTTGTGCTTTTAGGTATGTGATAATGCAACGGTGGTCCTTTCCAGAGTGCAGCACACGCAGCAGTCGTACGACCAAAATCATGATAACCATGAAGAGAGTGAGTTTGAAGTCTGCTTTCTAAGTGTGATCTGTCACTCACGCTCTGACGCATACACTCTCTTCACCTGAACTCACAGGAAACGCCCTGCTGGAGGATGATAAAGTTTTTCACCTGGTGCGACCGGCTGATGAGCTGGATGAGATGAAATCCAAGAGAGGCAGTATAAAGGACAAATCCATGACCAAAGCCATCACAGAGATATATCTGACCCGACTGCTCTCCGTCAAGGTACTGACCTCTTCTTCTCACTAAATGAGCTGCTCCTTTAGAAAACGAATTATATTTGACTTACATCATTTGTTGGTAAATCATGAAGGGTGGGACATGATTTGATCAGGGTTATTCATGTTAATTAAAACTAAAACCTTGAAGAAAAAGTCAATTGAAATAATAACTAAATATAAATAACTTAAACATATTTTATTGCAGCTAGTTATCAAGGCATCGTTTCTAATTTTGTTTAGTTTGATTTGAACTCAAATTTAGTTTAATTTGTACTAAAATAACTCCAACTAAAGCAATAAATAAAAAATAAATTAAACTAAGACTAAAATAAAGAAAAATACATAATAAAATGTAATTCATAGTATTAAGAAAAATTATATTAGTATATCAGTTATGCTAAAATAACACTGGATTTTATCCAGATTTGTTTGGATTGTGAAATGTAGACTATGATATTATTGTTTTTGTTTTTTTTGTGGTTTTGTGTACTTCAGGAGAAAATATGTTTTAGAGACAGTTATTATATAAATAAAATATTTAAATGTGAAATATTAAAATCATTACAATTTTAAAACAACAGTAAAATGTATCGTAAATTAATGTCAAAAGCAACATTGCATAGACAACTGAGAGTGCCATTTAATAAAATTAAGAAATAAATGATCAGTTTATTAATGAAAATAAATTGCACTTCAAACTGATAACTAAATAGACATTTAAAACTTTAAATTTGACTTATTTGACACTGTCAAATTATTTATTATTATTAATATATTGTTAAATGTATAAATTTTTTTGGAGAACATATAATTTATATAAATGTATTATTGTTACTTTATTGAACAGGCACCTGACTGGATTCTGTTAGATTTTTTTTTTTTGTAAAAAGTATGAAAAATACATTTGATTCTCTAAAAACATGTACATTTATCTTGTATTAGACATAATTTCACTAGATAACAATTTTTAAAAAGTCTGTCCGCTGATTAAGAAATTATTTTAGCCATGTACATTTTGATGGAAGATGAAAACGGTGCATAATCAGTTGTGATTTGCGAACAGTCCCAATTCTACAGCATATGGCTACATATAATGTGGGACGTGTGTCATATAATTATTGTAACCTCCATAAACCTCTAGGAACTCTTCTGAGTGCTCGCTTGTTCTCTTAACTCACAGTGTGTAAGTCTAATTCTGTTTGATTGGTTTGTTGCATGTCCTTGTGTCAGAGGCCGCTCGCTGTAAATTGGGCGATTAGAGAGGCTAATTACTCACAAGTCTTTCACCTTGTACAGGAGTAATTCAGCGGCACGTAAAGCTGTCAGTGCTGACAGAAACAAAGCGTAGTGGAGATGAGAAGCGCACAAGTGAGCGTGTAACTTCAACCGTCAGGCCGATCAAAGCGTATATGTGTGACTGTCAGTGACCCAGCAGGCTGACGTGTGAAGAAATGAGATGCTTTTCTGCTGGTTTTTAAGATCTGTGTGATGTTTCAGAGCTCAGGTTTTATAAATTGTATCAAGGGCTTTCAACCATTTTTGTCACCTGAACCTCAAATAATTTACTTGAAGTGACTTAACATTTATAAAAACACATTTTTGTTATATATTTAACTCAATATAACAAAAAATTATATATTTTTTTTAATTAATATTTTTTTATTTGTACATTTGAATTATATTTAGTAATAATTTAGTAATTATATAATTTGGAGCTGTCAATAGTTAAAGGTAAAAATATTTTAGTTGCTCACCAATTTAAATTCTTTATCATTTAAATATTTTAAGTTATATTGATTATTTGAATTCCTTTCATTTTGCATTTATATGACAAATAGGCTATATTCTCTATATTTTTATATATCTCATAAAAATTAGCTCTGGGGGTTTGCAGAGTTAAAATGACATAAATAAAAATGTACATATGTGCGTGTGTGTGTGTGTGTGTGTGTGTGAGAGAGTGTGTCTATATATATGTATATATATATATGTATATATGTATATATGTATATATATATATATATGTATATATATATGTATATATATATATATGTA